GCCAAATCATGTACACAACACAAATGAAGCATGCAATGGTGCTCAAAGCTTGAAGCAAACAAGAGCACTTGTACTACAACTATGCAAAACATGAAGAATATGGTCGAGGCAACCCAAAACAGTCCTAGAACATGTTAAAATAAGTCTAAAACATGCATGGAAGGAAGCCAAAATAAGCTAGCATGAAGGGCATAAGGCATGATGCATACAAGGCAAATAAGGTGGATTACTCTACACCTATTAAGACCAAGCATGGGATGACTTAACCAACAAAATTCAGAGTTATATCATGGCATTATAACCCCAAAAACTCATTGAAATGATGGCTCGCAAGCTATGGCATGAAGGCATACGCAATGACTCATGTTAAGACACAAAGGGGGAAACCCTCCAACGCATTCAATGAGAGATAAATGGAAGTGCATGGCCATGAAACATGGACTAAAATCACATAATAAATGATGCCAAATCATTCAAATAGTCAAAGTAAAGCATGCTAGTGGACTTGATACACAAAGCTAACAAGCTAGAATGTACTATAGCTATACAAAGCATGGCATTCATGACTAAGAAAACACAAATCAGACTTCAAACATGGTAAAACATGAACAAAATCTTCTTTAAGTTAAGCCAAAAGCATGCTAGAATGGCATGTCAAAGCATGAGACACATTAGGCTAATTCATGGAATTGCACTACAAGTGCATGGAGCATGCAAAGGCTAACCAAACCAAACCTTAAAAGAGGTATGACATGGTAGAAAAACACCAAAAACATGCTGAAATGGAGTCAACATAAGCTAGAAAGACATGCTACTTCATGAAGCATACAAGACTAGTTTAAGGCATGCAAGAGCCAACGAAACCAACCCAAAACAGATCTAAGGCATGTCAAAATAACACCAAAAACCTACTGAGATGGCCCCAAAACCAGCTAGAAAGGCATGCTTAAACATGAGGGTTTTACACTACAAGTGTATAAGGCATGCATGGAATGACCAAACCAAGTCAAAATAGATCTGAGGCATGCTGAAATAACCCCAAATACATGCTAAGAACAAGCCAACACAAGCTTAATAAACATGCTCAAACATGAGGCATATGAAGCAAGTATTCAAAATACAAGGAGAGGGGATGACCCTCTCCTTTTTGGGACCTCAAAACCTCCTCTCCACCACTGAAAATCCTCTAGATTTCAGTGGTAGAAAGGTCATGCAAAGGTGATCCCAAAGCTTAAAAAGAAGGCACAAAAGCAAGGCCAAACAAGGCCTAAAAGGGGGTAAACAACCCTAAACACAAAAGTGACCTTAAACAAAGATCTTAAGCACACAAAAATAGAACTTTTTATAGTAGGAAGTTAAGCTCAAAACAGCATGAAAAAGGGCTCAAAAGCTTAAGCAAAAATGGGGATTTTAAGGGTTAAAGGCTCACCTTTGAAGACCTTCTTTACTACTGTAACTCCGATACACTTTTTGTGCACAAACCAGCCCAAGAACACCAAAAACCACTTCAAGAAGCCTCAGCAACACAAGCAAGGTGCTTGAGTGTGTGTTTGTGTACAAAAGTGAGACAAAACTACACTTTAAGGCACAAAAATGAAGCAAAGAAGGAAGTATAGATACAAGGCTATATTTATCACTCAAGCTCCAAATTTCTGAACCTAGAGGAGGGAGGAGGGGGTTCTCTCTTATAGAGAACAAAAGGCAAAGATTCTCTAAGAAGCTAAGGGCCAAGGCAATCCCTCCATACACGTGTATGGAGGATGGCTCTGGTGCCCTCCAGCTGCGCCAGCTGGATGAAAATATCTCCAAAAAGGTGACAAAAAGCAGCCGACCACTTGAAGTGGTCGGCCAACTACTTCAAGTGGTCGATCGACCCCCACAAGTGGTCTCCCAAGACAACAAGTGGTCAGCCATGGTGGGAGATGATCAGAACACTGAAAACAAGCCAGGGGTGGGGTGGTCAACCAGAAAAGATGGCTCAAAGACCTAGGAGACCAGTTGTTAGATCAGAAAACTGGCTGGTGGGAAGAAAAGTGATCTCCAAGAAAAAAAACTGGTCTCCCACCCTTGTACCACCTTCCAAACAAGGAAAAAGTTCGGGAGGCAAAGCGCGCAGCCGGGAGCCTCGAAAACTAGCTGACAAGCACCAAAAGTGGTTTACGACCACAAAAGTGGTCTCCCAAATCACAGTGGCCCTCTAGGCCAAGGAAACAAGGTGTGGTTCAAAAACCACGCCAAACGGAGAACGTTAAGCGGTCCTGAGACAAGACACGCGGCTGAAGGCTCTGAAAACTAAAAACTAGTCTCCAAATGGGAAAAGTGGTTGTAGACACCCCATTTTTGACTGACCTTAAGACTCAGACGTCATCAATTGAGCACTCAGTGATTGCGCATGTTGTGCTCGTTCTGAGGTTACGGAGTCTCGGCTGAGAGCCTTGCCTCTGGACTTTGGGACTCTTTTGTGCTTTGCCTCGGTTTGTGAACCAGGTTCTGTTTTCTCTTCCTGAAGGGAGAAAGAGGTCTCGTAGACCATCTCTTAGTGGCCGTAGGCTACTTTTCGTGGTCGCAGGCCACTGTTCCTGTTTGGAGACCAGTTTCCGATTTTCGGAGCCATCGACCGTGCGCCTCAGTTCGGGATCGCTTAACTTTCTCCGTGTGCTACAGTTTTTGGCACACACCTTGTTTCCTCTCTCTAGAGGGACATTGTGGCCCGGGAGACCACCTTCATGGTCACATGCCACTTTCGATGCTTAACAGTTAGTTTTTGGGATGCGTGATGTGCGGGCCTGGGCGGGTTTTATCTCAGGTTGCGTTGTAGACGCGTTGGGCTGTTTGTTTTGGACCTCCTCTCATGATTTCGGCATGGTTTGAGTGTCCCGTTCCTTACTCGATTTCAGCGTGTTTGGAATTCATCTTAGGTTGCGTTGTGTACGCACCTGGGCGGGTTGTTGGACCTCCTCTCACGATTTCAGTGTGGTTTGAGTGTCCTGTTCCTTACGCGATTTCAGCGTGTTTGGAATTTATCCTAGGTTGCGTTCTGTACGCACCTAGGCGTTTTGTTTTCGGACCTCTTCTCACAATTTTAGCGTGGTTTGAGTGTCCCGTTCCTTACGTGATTTTAGCGTGTTTGGAATTTATCCCAGGTTGTGTTGTGTACGCACCTAGGCGTTTTGTTTTCAGACCTCTTCTTACGATTTCAGCGTGGTTTGAGTGTCCCTTTCCTCACACGATTTCAGCGTGTTTGGAATTTATCTCAGGATTGCGTCATGTACGCACCTTGGCGGTTTGTTTTCGGACCTCCTCTCACGATTCTAGCGTGGTTTGAGTGTCCCTTTCCTCACACGATTTCAGTGTGTTTGGAATTTATCCCAGGTTGGGTCGTGTACACGCTTGGGCGTTTTGTTTTCAGACCTTCTCTCACGATTTCAGCGTGGTTTGAGTGTCCGTTTCCTCACACGATTTCAACGTGTTTGGAATTTATCTCAGGTTGCGTTGTGTATGCACCTGGGCGGTTTATTTTCGGACCTCTTCTCACGATTTCAGTGTGGTTTGAGTGTCCCTTTTCTCACACAATTTCAGCATGTTTGGAATTTATCTCAGGATTGCCCCTAAGGGGTTTGTTTTCGGACCTCCTCTCACAATTCCAGCGTGATTTGAGTGTCCCTTTCCTCACACGATTTCAGCGTGTTTGGAATTTATCCCAGGTTGCATCGTGTACGTGCTTGGGCGTTTTGTTTTCGGACCTCCTCTCACGATTTCAGCGTGGTTTGAGTGTCCGTTTCCTCACACGATTTCAGCGTGTTTGGAATTTATCTTAGGTTGCGTTGTATACGCACTTGGGCGGTTTGTTATCGGACCTCTTCTCACGATTTCAACGTGGTTTGAGTGTCCCTTTCCTCACACGATTTCAGCATGTTTGGAATTCATCTTAGGTTGCGTTGTGTATGCACCTAGGCGGTTGTTTTCAGGTCTCTTCTCACGATTTCAGCGTGGTTAGGGTGTCCCCTTCCTTACACGATTTCAGCGTGTTTGGAATTCATCTCAGGTTGCGTTGTGTATGCACCTAGGCGGTTGTTTTCAGGCCTCTTCTCACGATTTCAGCGTGGTTAGAGTGTCCCCTTCCTCACATGATTTCAGCGTGTTTGGAATTGTTCTCTAGTTGCGTGGAATGTGCTCCTGATTGGTTTTCTTTGTTCTTCCTCCTCTCACGATTCCAGCGTGGTTGGAGTGTGTTACCCCATTTGCATTTATTGCTCTATCTGTTACATCCATAATTATCAAACCGGCTTCGCGCAGCGTATAAGTCCAATTATCAAACTGGCTTTGCGTAGCGTATAAGTCCAATTTTCAAAATCTTCCTGCATGTTGTTTTGCATTTTGCCCCCGCCTGCGGGCATGCCTATGGGCACATCTCTTTTATCTCGTCTGTTTGTCTAAGTCTTCGGCCTTGTTAAAAATGGGTCGTCTCTGGGCTTTGACATTCACTCCCGTCACTTATGACTTTCGAGTTCTGTCAAAGAGGGGCAACTATAGACACCCCATTTTTGACCGACCTTAAGACTTAGACTTCATCGATTGAGCGCTCGGTGATTGCGCATGTTGTGCTCGTTCTGAGGTTACAGAGTCTCGGCTGAGAGCCTTGCCTCTGGACTTTAGGACTCTTTTGTGCTTTGTCTCGGTTTGCGAACCAGGTCCTGTTTTCTCTTCCCGAAGGGAGGGAGAGGTCTCGTAGACCATCTCTCAGTGGCCGTAAGCTACGTTTCATGGTCATAGGCCATTTTTCCCGTTTGTTCAAAGAATCTGGTGATTGGACTATCGCCTTGTTTGGACTCTTTGAAAAATTGAAATGTTTATTCTTTCTTTCTTTCTTTCTTTGTCTTTTTGGGTAGTGACTTGTACAATTTAAATAATGAGTTTGATAACTGCCCTCCATTTTTTCTTTAATTGAATTTGTATTTGATAGAATCTAACTCAAAGCAAATTGTGCTCGTGAATGAATAATGATTCTAAAACTACTAATTTTTGGCATTTCAGGAATTGGCTTCAAGAGTGTATTTCTCATCACAGCTCAGCCTTACATATTCAGTAATGGCTATCAGATACGGTTTAATGAACAACCTTGCCCACAGTGCAAAGTTGGGTACATTATCCCTGAATGGGTCGATGATAACCCTACTCTTTCCACCATAAAGGAAATATACGGTGGCTCTGGCTCTTCCCTTCCGACCACAACGATTGTGTTGCCTTTGAAGCCTGACAAAGTCCAACCTGTGAAGCAACAACTCTCAACCATTCATCCTGAAATTCTGTTATTTCTTTCAAAGATAAGGAGGCTTTCAGTCAAGGAAGATAATGAGGATCCTAGGCTCAACACCGTGAGTGCGGTGTCCATTTCAAGTGAGATTAATTTTGCTACTAAGAAGAACATAGATGTAGATTCCTTTCTTCTCCATCTCCCAGCCGATGAACATGGTAAAAATTCAGAAGAAGAATGCAGCTACCACATGTGGAGGCAGAGATTTCCCGTCAGGCAAGAAAATAAAGTGGAAAAAAGAATGGAAGTCGATGAGTGGGTGATCACACTGGCTTTTCCAAATGGACAAAGGCTCAATAGAGGGAGGAGCTCTCCTGGGATCTATGCTTTTCTCCCAACAGAGATGGTTACAAATTTCCCGTTTATAATCCAAGCCGATTTTCTTCTGGCATCGTCGAGGGAAACCATTCTCTTGGATAACAAATGGAACCAAGGCATTCTCGATTGTGTGCCCTCTGCTTTTGTCAGCGCATTCATTTCATTGGTGAAAAGCTCAGAAGATGCTCCGGTATCTAGTTTGCCTCGTATGTTTGGATTCATACCTGTCAACACGCTATAAAGCTCGCCTTGTTGCTAAAGGCTTCAATCAAGAATATGGTATTGACTATGAGGAGACCTTTGCTCCTGTTGCTCGTCTCACCTCTGTTCGCAGCCTCATTGCAGTTGCTACTACCCGACACTGGGATCTTTATCAAATGGATGTGAAAAATGCCTTTCTTAATGGTGTTCTTCTTGAGGAGGTCTACATGCAACCTCCCCTTGGGTCTACTTATCCACCTCATAAAGTCTGCAAACTTCAACGTGCTTTATATGGTCTCAAACAAGCTCCCCGCGCTTGGTTTGCCAAGTTCAGCTCTACTATTCATGACTGTGGTTTCACCTCCAGCTCTTATGATATTGCACTGTTTATCCGCAAAACTGCTCAAGGGACCACCTTGCTTCTTCGTTATGTGGATGATATGATTATCACCGGTGATGATGTTAATGGTATTCTTCATCTTAAACAATTTCTTAGCCATCATTTCGAGATGAAAGACCTTGGTCCTCTCAACTATTTCTTGGGTCTTGAAATCTTCCATGATTCCACGGGTTCTTTTCTCTCTCAGGCTAAGTACACATCTGATCTTCTCACCCGTGCTGGTCTTACCGATTGCAAGACTGCCTCAACTCCCCTGGAGCCTCAGAGTCGTCTTACACCTCTTGATGGCACTCTTCTCTCTGATGCTACTCTATATCGTCAGCTGGTTGGCAGTCTTGTCTATCTCACTGTTACTCGTCCTGATATTGCCTATGCCGTCCATATTGTCAGCCAGTTTATGTCGGCTCCTCGTACCACACATTATGCTGCATTAATTCGTATCCTTCGCTATCTCAAAGGCACCATGTTTCATGGTCTTCATTATTCCGCCCGCTCCTCTCTCCAGCTTCGTGCTTTCTCTGATGCTGATTGGGCTGGCGATCCTACTGACCGCCGCTCTACTACTGAGTTTTTCTTTTTTCTGGGTGATTCTCTTATTTCTTGGCGCAGTAAGAAACAATCTCTTACTGCTCGTTCTAGTACCGAAGCCGAATATCGTGCCCTTGCTGATACTACTCAGGAGCTTCTCTGGCTTCGTTGGCATCTTGCTGACATGGGTGTTACTCCCTCTGGCGCTCCTGCCCTCTTTTGTGACAATCACAGTGCTCTTCAAATTGCTCACAATGATGTTTTTCATGATCGCACCAAGCACATTGAGATTGACTGCTATTTTATTCGGCAACACGTTACTCATGGTACTGTCCATCTCCATCCGATCTCTTCTGTTGATCAACCTGCTGATATCTTCACCAAAGCTCATTCTCCTGGCCGCTTCGTTGACCTTGTCTCCAAACTCAAGTTGGTTGATGTTTGTCCTCCTTGAGTTTGAGGGGGGATGTTAACAGTAGATAAATACAATACACACCCACTAGCATCACATGTTATACAATACAATACACACTGTAAAGCACACACCAGCACACACCCACTAGCATCACATGTTCGGATCACACTGTAAAACACACACCAGCACACACCCACTAGCACACACCAGCACACAAGAAAGCTTTAGCAATAGTTTAATGTATTGTAATATACACTTTCGGTCACCTTCTCCTCTCTATAAATAGAGAGAGCTCAGTCTCTTGTATGATATATAAAAACACAGAGCTAATTTGCTCTCTCAATCTCTCTCAATTTCTTATAGAAACAAGTGTAACATAAATCATTTTCCTATTATAAAATTAAAAAAAGAAAAGGAAAAAAAAAAGTGATTTGCAAATAAGAGTTTTTGTACAAAAAAATGTACCAAAGTGATATGTCCATGACAAATCATCAAATAATTAGTCATTTTATAGGTCTTTTGATTTGAAATTAATGAATATTCATTTGAGTTAACTAGCTTGATGCATCATGATTTATTTATTATTCATATCCTCTCCAAGGATCTTCATATGTTTGAGAACTATTTTGTTGGGTGGTCCGATTATCCTCTTAGCCATAGATCAAAGTGAGCAGAACTACTTTGATGGGTGGTCCCATTGTCTGCTGCGTAACGTGCGTTATAATAGTCCTTTTTGTTTTCAGAGGTAGAATGAAGGAGATTTATAGTGAGGGAATTAATAGTGAGGCGATTGATAGTGAGCGGATTAAGTAAAATTGTATTTGTTATGATGATAGTTGTTAGTGTAGGAATTGTTAAATTATTTTTATATAAAATAATAAAACAAATAAAAAAATATAAAAAATTAAACATTAATATTTTAAAATTTTTTTCCAATATATAAAAAATAAAAAAAATAAAAAACTTTCTAATCCCTCACTATTTTTCTAATACCATCTCTACCTCCTCCTTCCCAATCACCCTTTCAAGGCCTTTACTAATACCAAAAGATTATGAGTCCCCTCCCCATCTCTCAAAATAAACACCCCATATAGTAGTCTCATCTCACTATCAATTCTAATCCCCTCCCTATAACTCCAAACAAATGGGGCCTAAATGAGAGCTTGTGACTTGCGTCCTTACCCTCCCGTGAGTGCTGAGAAAGAAAAAAAAAAATTAATAATAATAATTGTAATTTTTTAACTTCTTGTTTAGATGGATTATGATTAAAAGAGTAATTTTTATTTTTTACCAAATATCATCACTTTTTGTGTGAAGCAAAACTTAAGTTTGATGTAATTTGACTTTCTCACAATTCTTCTTTATTTTTTACTATTATTCATCCCATTAATCATCAAAACAAGTGATGTTCTATTTTTTACTATTTTTGGGCACTTTTTCATAAATATCTTTTCACCTACTTATATTCTGTTTAGTACACATTATTTTATTATGTTCTAATAAGTCTTATGGGTGATATACTTACCAAAATATCCCTAATAATATACACATTTACAGTGTGAATGTTCCGTGATGTGAATGTTCACACCATCAATGTGAATGTTAACATGTTAATGTGAATATTCACATTGTTAATATGAATGTTCACATTGTCAATGTAAATATTCACATTGTAAAATATGAATGTTCACATCAACAAATTGTTAACCGTTCAAAAAATATTTGTAATGGTGAAAATGTCCATAAAATATCTTAAATATGAGAATTTGGATTTGATAGATCAAATATTTAAATAATAGGATTTATTGGAATACAAGAATATCTTATGAACTAGTTGGGATACAATCACTTAAAAAAGAATTTTCTAATAATTTTTTTTTTCTCACTAAGAGGTCTTTTGGGAAGTGAATTATAATCCACTTCTCAGATAATAACCCACTTTCCTCTCTCATAAAAAACTGATTATAATCAGCTTTTAACTAAAAAACTGATTATAACCATCTTTCCAAAATAACCCTAAATCTTTCAATCTAATAGGATGTTAATTTTTTCAAGATGAGCGGTCAGCTATTTTATCTCATTTCAATCGTGTGTAATGTGTCTTATTTTTTTTTTTTTATATTTGTTTAAATCTCTCAATTTTATGAATTTATATAATAATTACTAATTAGCTGTACTTGGTTTGTAATACAATATATTGGCTTAAATTTAAATTGTTAAATAATAATAATAATAATAATAATAATAACAATAACAATAATGCATCTCCCTATGGGGTAAGATCTTGGTAGGGCCATGGGCTTTGATTTTGGTTGAAGATGCAATGGTGGACCAACGCCTAACCATATTTTGTTGTTCAACTTGATTGAAATAAGAGCCAATATTAACAAAAATTGTGGTGGATTTAGAAAGTCACATCTCTATGTTTAGTTTGAGAGTATTGTTCTTTGAGTTCAAAAATTAAATTCACTTTTTAAATTTAATAATGTGATAATTAATTAAAATATTTAAGATAATTTTCTTTTCTATTCTCTCTAATCATTGATCAATCGTTTTATTTACACATCATTAGGTTCAAAAATTAAATTTGTATATCATTTTTCTTAATTTAATTACCCTAACCCATATCACGTAGAAAAATAGTAAATATTAGCGGGCACCACTATTGCAGTAGAGTAGATATACACATATAAGTATATATATATAGGAAAATGTTTAAGATTTTCAAAAATCTTTCACAGTTGTATCTATAATGATGTAATATAATTTGTGTAAACTTTTAATTTATTACACACCTAATAATATATGGCCCAACTAGTAAGTGACTATAAGAGTTTAAAAATATAAGTCTCTAACATTACTCGATTATATCCATATTATGTAAAGGAAATGCTGGATTTGATATGGTGAAACCTTTATTTTTCTTTATGCCAAGTGGCCTTCATTTGTAGCTACACCTTTTCTATAACTGTGTTCAATTGCATTGATGTAATTACATGTGTAACTCGTAATTGTAAATTGGAAAATGTTATGGATGCCAAATAATCCACTAAATTTTCTATCGAAACTCTTACATAGGTGTGGGATACACACAAACCCAAATGTGTGTGGGTCTCACACCCATGTGAGAGATTTGATAAAATTTTTAATAAATTATTTGGAGTCCTTAGCATCAAATTGTAAATTTGAGGCACATCCGTGTAGGAGTGCATACACCTTCTAGTGTGTATATATATAATATAAGGCTCCGTTTATTTTGGGTTATAGAGAGGGGATTATGATTCATAGTAAGATGAGATCCACTAATATCATGTTTGTATTGAGAGATAGAGATGAGATTTGTAATCTTCTCCGGACTATGAATCCCCTTGGGGAGGGGATTAGGATAGGCCCATGGGACTTGGTATTAGAAATTAGTTTATCGGACTAATTTATTTTTATTTTTTACATGTTGGACATTTTTTTTGAACATTAATGTTTAATTTTTTATATTTTTTTTTGCCTGAAATGAGGAGACACTTCACCTTGTTCTTGTTTTTCGATAATGCAGCTGAATACGTTTATTCAGAAGAAGGACAATTTAGGAATAGCTAGTGTCATCGGGCAAGTTCTTGTGTTGTTTCTTGTATAATTTGAGCTTATTTTTAGGGATAAATAAGTACGCTTTCAGTATATAAAAATATGCATTCTTTGTTAT